CAGCCTATCCAGGTCCCAGTACTGCAATTTAGGGTAACCTCATGGCTCCTCTAAACTACACCCAGCTGCTCAGAGCTCCAAGGGGCTATTTTGACAGCCAGGTATCACCAGAGCACAGTGACCTGGCTATTGCCTGTTTTCTGTCCATGCCTCCATTCCAGGGGCCAAGTGGCAAGGGTCCACTGAACCAGCCTTGTGCCACCTGGACATTCCTGTTAGTAAGGGGAATCCTGAGGAGGTGGATTTAAGTCCAATATAACTTGGAATGTTTCTGTTATGTTAAAATTTCATTTAAGTGAACATGCCTCTGGGCTGGGAAAGGAGAGTGAGAGGAGACTTACAATCCTTGAGTTATCAAAATTACTATGGATATAGTGAGAACTGATCAGGAGCTCCTATCTTACCCTTCCCTTTAATATGAGAACAAGGGGACACTTGATGGAAGTTTAAGGCAGTAGGTTTAAAATAAAGGGAAATGCTACCGTAATTTATATACATTGTAAAGTCCATGTGTGGTCTTCACTCTCTCAGGAGATCATTTTGAAAATACTTTTAAAAAGGATTAGGTGATTTGTGCACATTTAGTTGGGCAGTTCCTAGAGTCCTTACTTGAGAAATATTCACATTGGTTTTAATGAGAGTTTTGACTGAGTAAAAACGTCAGGATTTGGCCCATTGTTGATAAAAGACCAAATGTTCCCCTCTGCTTCCAAGAGGGGAGGGTAGCAAAAAAAGCACTGAAATTGGGGTAGAACTGGGGGAGGTGTAGGGAGAAGGGTTCCACTGTAGCACTCTGTGGTCATGGAGGCGTGAGGCATCCAGGTAGATATCCTGGGCCTCTGAACAGATCTTCTGAGATCTGCAGATTAAGCACCACTCTGATGGAATGCTCAAACAAGCTGTATCTACTCCTGAGATTTCCTGTCTCCCACATGTGAATAACCAGCGTTGGGTCCATATTTATCCAAGTTATTAAGTCAAAGTATTTTGTGTGGCAGCTGTACAAGCTAAGGCTGCGCTCATGGTAATCAAATCTCATTCCTTGCATAGAGAAGCTACCTTACTGGTCAAACTGTTAGAAGTGTTAGTATATGGAAGTGTTTGCTTCTCAGTCTCTTGTCCCTGTCAGCTCAGGACTCATTTAATTTAGGTTGTGACTAGCTCCACCTGTATCTCTCATGTTATTTCTGCTAATATTGCCCCATTGTCGCCTTTGCCCTACCCAGGGCCGGCTCTGGCTTTTTTGCCGCCCCAGGCAAAAAAGCCTCAGGCCG